GCGGTAAGCAAGGGCAACACGGAATTGATAGTGCCTTGCTCAACTCCTCCGCTGGTAACTTAGCAGACAGCTACGCTGGCGCTCGGGAAAAGGTAGCTGCTTTAGAAAGCCGCAGCAGAGCACCGGTCAACCGGAAGGTGTGGTATCTGTTTCACAGTTCTGGTGTGTGGAGACACTGCGTGCGGCCGCAAAGGAAGCCGTCTGCCCTCCTTTTGTTCAAGTTTACCCCTCTAGGCCTTCACCATGTTGTGCAGAACCCAACGTGCCCGCCCAAATTGCAAATTGACAGCAATCGGAGCCAAGGCACACAGTGTTTTAGGCATTGCCGACGATGCATAGCGCAAGGCCTCCGGAGCCCCTAGCTCCCTTCTCTGGAAGACTCACAGACCCTGGGGCCTCCTCAACACCTTCACACCGAGCTTTCATCAGGAAGCTTTCGTAGACGTCCTGGGCTCCAAAACATGGGACGCAACGGCTGCCATTGCTTTGCAGCGGTCTAGGGCCTCGGGGGTGTGAGGTGCGAGTTTGCTGACCACTTTTCCCCTTTTGCCGGACCAGGCATGATCACCCATAGGCCCCATAGTAGTTCCTTTTTGGGGTTATCCTTATAGGATTCTATATATGAACCCCAAAAGGGAACTACTTTAGGGCCTAGGATCGCATTATTATATAGTCTATTATAGTATACTATAGCCTATTATAGTATACTATAGCCTATTATAGTATATTATAGTATATTATGCTAAATTATAGTATATTATACTATATTATAGTCTATTAGATCCGAGCCCCTCTGAACTTCCAGGCTCCGAGGCTCTGGGCGCTTCTCCTTGGACCCGGAACGCCGGGCGACTCTGGGTGCCGCCTCGGCCCTGAAAGCCAGGGACACTTTGTATTACTATTATTACTATTATTACTATGATTGCCATTGTTACTATGATTGCTATTGTTACTATTACTACGATTATGGCTATGATTACTATGATTGCTATTATTACTATGATTACTGTTATTATTCATAAGAGTGGGGAAGAGATGCAGATACTGTCTTGCTTCAGTCTTCGCACTCGGAGAGCCCGGGTCAGGGAGAGCTCAGAGGCGCTACTCCGGGGTTTCATGTGGGAGTTTCAGAAACTTAGGGTACCTTATTTTGGGGTCCTTATAATAGGGATCCTAAAATTTTAGGGTGCTATATTAGGGTCCCCTATTTTGGAAAACCCCCATGTCTCTGTCCTGAACGAAGGCTCGGAAGGTCAGAGCGCTTCGTAACTTCTTGTTTGTGTGCGAAGCTAGTACGAGTACACTGGAACGTGTCCCAGTCTTGAGGCCATGATAGACTCTTTCTCCGCACATGCTAGTAAATTTGTGTCCGTCAACTCACCTCACCACGCCTTCCAATCGAGGGCGTGAACAGCCATTGCGAGGCAGATGCGACGGCCGAGACGATCACCAGCAGCCTTTGGAGGTACAATGCAGCAGGTGAACAAGAACCATATCTATGTACGCGAATCAGCAGGTGCAGGAACGCAGAACAAAACCGAGCCTACAACATGCGACGCATGCGTTGCGTTGCCGGTCCTGCCACGTCGCCAGCTCCACGCAAAGCTACGCATATCGCGGCAGCTTGTGGTAGGTTAACGGCTGCAGCTCCACGCCGTCAGAACTCCATCGCAAAGGACGGGGGGACCAAGGGTTTCAGTAGACTCCCTGTTCGACGATCCGGGCATCTGTGGCTTAACAGATCTTAGCAGCCTTAGCAGGCTGAGCCTTTAGCAAATGCTGGGATTCTTGCACTGCCAAGGAATCCATTCACGGTCCATGGCACTGGACAGGGCTTGAACCCGATCTGAAGAAGTGCTGGCCGCGTCGGGTGTTCAGACATTGCTCACGGAGACACTGAGGCTGTTGTAAGCAGCACGAATTCGCAGCAAAACGTGCCGCAGAGTGTATATATATATATATATATACTTGTGGATGCCCGAGCACCCCACGAGCTCACAAGTGTGATGCGCATCTGGAGTCTGGCAAAGCTCCACGAGCACCAGGTTTGCCTGACCTCTCGGAAACTGCAGTCCGGAGCTAGAGCGGTGCTGTGGCGGCTGGACCTCCTGCAAGTTCTGAATCTGCACCATCCTCTCAGAATGAGGCACGGGAAGACAGTGAGTGACACAAGCACAAAGATGTACAAACTGAGTTCCTGGCGGACGGCACGTGCAAGGTCCGTGCCCTCAGCCAAGCTAGGCAAAGGTAAGGGAGGGCAAGCCACAGCCGCGAGATTGGGGGGCGAATGTCATTACTGCAGTGCATGACGAAGACTTGGGCAAAAGATGCAAAGGTCCTCTTCAGTCTTCTACCTTCTCTGAACCCGTCGCGAACAATAAATTCGAACGTCCTGCTGGATCATCCAACCGGGTCAGGACGTCCTAATGCCAGCCACAAGGCAAATGACTTAATTCTTGCCTCTCTCTCTCTCTCTCGCTCTCTTTCTCTTCTTTCTTTCGCCACATCCTTCTTCTGCTTCCACAGGGTACTGGGAGCGTGTCAGGCTCCCCGGCCACTAAGGCCCCCCATGTTTGTGTGGCATGCGGGCTGGGCTGTGAAAGGAGGGCCAGGCTCTCTTTCGGGCAAGCTACCCAACTAGAAACTGTCTGGCGAGCCGGAGCGATTCGAACGAGCAAGAGGGAACACCGCGTTCGTCTTCGGCCAACTGACACTCTCTGCATCCAGCAATGCATCTGCTTCTGTCCTTGCCCAGGCACTGCGACATGCCCATCGCATTCTGCAGCCACCTGGAAACGGTCTCGTCTCCACCAGGCGTCACTACAAGACCTCAGCAGACTGCCCAAAGCCGCATGCTGATCTGCTCACCAGAGGTTCAGCCATGGGGCATTGCTGGCATGCCAGTGCCTCACCTGCTTGGCCGGGCATGCTCGAAGGTGAGCAAAAGCCTCAAGCTCCCCCGTCTTATCCGTCCAACCTCCTTCCGATGCCAGCCGCTTCGGCAGCCACGAAGACAACAGCTCAACGAAGGCAGCCAGAAGCGGCGGAGCTTCGTCAGAGAGCCTTCGGTCCGAGACATGTGGCCTACTTGGCCTACTTGCCAGCTGGCTCCCTGCTGCCTGGTCGCAATGGAAAAACAAATGTTCCGAATGTGGATTACAAAGTCCTGGTCGGCCAGACCCGTCGCGAGCATGCACCCTTTTACGACGTTGAGGTCTGCACTCCCGACGCTTGGACAAGCCTGCCACAACCTATGACCACGAGCTATGCGTTGCTGCAAAGTTTTGTTTCCAATCACGCTCTGTTGCAGCTCTTTCGCTATTTGATCGTGGGCCTAGCTTTGCAGGACGAGGGGCCGAGCAACTCTAGCACCTCCACGTTCTTCGCTGGCCAAGCGAGACGAAATCCCAGCACGGAGCTTCTCGGGCTCGGCGACGGAGGAATGCACGAATCTCGGAAGGAAGGGAGAAAGGGTAAGGGAGGGCAAGGGAAGGCAAGGGAGATGAGGGATTGTCAGAGAGGGAAGCTGGCTGCAGACTCGGACTGGGACAAGTCGGGGCACTGCGAGAATGTAGGACGCATGCTTTGCGCGACAGCCAGGCTTCCGTTCTCACAACTTGAACAGCTACGCGGAGACCAGAAGCCCATGCACAGTGTCCCAACATGTCTCTGCCGAAAAGGGGCGCCCAGGGAGGTTGCAGCCGTATCTCCTCCGCAGACTGCGACTGCCAAATGAGCGAGGGCTTCCAGCACTATCACGGGCCTTCCACCAGAGCTTGGCCGCCGTCACCGCGGCTTCCGCAGAGATCTCCAAGGTCTGCAACAGGACGCGGTCAGCTTCACCTCAGAGTCCACGGCCTACCTCGCGCCTACGAGTCTGACCTAGGAGGCGATCAAGGCACGGCTCCGCATCATCTGCCGCCATCCTGGTTTGAGGAGCAGCTGCCGAAGACTCGCTTGAATTTGTGAAGGCGCTTCCGCCGCGAGATCTCTCGAGCCCAAGCTTCCTCAAATGCCCTGCATGCATGTGTGTAGAAGGAAAAAAGGAAGGAAGGAAGTAAAGGAAGGAAGGAAGTAAAGGAATGAAGGAAAGAAGAAGGAAGGATGGATGGATCAATAGACAGCTCAATCGATGGAGGGAGGGAGGGAGGGAGGGAGGGAGGGAATCAGAGATGTGATGGATCTAGTACTGAGGGGCATCTACGAGCCGCTGGCACAAGATCGCAGGAAACTCGGACAGGAATCTGCCTCGAAAACAGAATAGCAGGCTTCAAAAATCGTCCCAGGCTCCTTGACACCAACTTCGGCCGCCCTGAAAGCGCGACTGGGTGCATCGCGCTCGCTTCGCGGCAGGTACCTCGCATCAACTCATAGACCGGCCAAAGCAGTCCACGGAGTGTCAAATCAGCAGGTAGCTTCAGCCATTAGCGTAGGCTGCGATGCACGCGGCCTCCATCCAAAGCCGTCGCCGTCGCTGGATCAAGGCTTGGAAGTCGGGCTGCTGTGTGCTAGTTCCACTTGCACCTGCATCGGAGGTGGCACGGACCATGGTCTGGCATACGTACTGGCAAACCGGGGAATGCCACTTTGGCATCTGCCACCTGGCGGGCTTTGCAGGAGCGACTCGTGGCAGTGGCCCCAAAGCAAGTGCAGTTGCACCGGCGGCTTCGCAGGGGTCCTCACTAAAGCTACATGAAATGGGCATCGGCGATCACGTCGGAATGCTCAGAAGATCAAGCCTGTCCTGACAGCTGAGCTTGGCCCTTCCACGAGGAGACGCTGCCATGCCTCCAACCTGCCTGCACCGAGGCAATGCCATGCCCTACCTGTTCTTCATGATATGAACCAGAGATGCCCGGCCATTCGCCAAGTCAGGCGATTCACATGTGCTTGGCCTGTGTACTGCATGGTGCAGATAGCGAACAAATGCTGGTTGTACCCGGCTCAATCTAGATGCCGCCTGGTGGTGATTGTGACAAAACTCCTCATCCAGACATCCCAACCCAAGAATTCCCGACCGTTCCCGAAGCTTCACTCCGGGCAAGTTGGCGTGCCTGGTAGGCTTGGATCGCCCAGGACCGCATCCACCAGCCCTGTGCCCTGCTTGGACGTGAGCTCCTTGCCTCGACTCGAGTTCTCACTCCCAAGTCCCAACGTCATTAGTATTGGTAGCGTCAGGGTAGTAGTGGTGGTTGGTGGTGGTAGTACCTGGCAGCAGCAGCAGCGGCAGCAGCAGCAGCAGCAGCAGTAGTAGCGGCGGCGGCGGCAGCAGCAGCAGCAGTAGCAGTAGCAGCAGCAGAAGTAGGAGCAGCAGCAGTAGAGGCAGCAGGAGGAGGAGGAGGTAGCAGCAGGTAGTACGACAAAGTTCACACTTTCAATGGAGATTCGTCGTCTAGTCAACCGGATTCGACAGAATCTGGTCGCTGTTTCCTAGTCCCGCGATTCGTTCTTGATCTCTGGGGGCAGGTGGCAAGGTCGTCTTGCCATGTGTTCTTCCATTTTTGTGCGTTCTTTCCGTTCAGTGTTTGTTTGCATGTGTGCTTGCTTCCGTGCTTGGCTTCTGCTCGGAAGCGCGAGCCATGCTGAACTGGCACAGAGCTGAAGCTGAGCTTGCGAGGAACCGAATAATGGATCATTGGTCTTAAAGCAGATATTTATATGCAGCAGGGCAGCTCACTGCACCACTGAGGGCTTGCAGCAGGGCCGGCTGCACACCACGAAACTGCCAACCAACCACGAAAACCTCCAGAGTGAGTTTTGGGCATATGGGGCAGTGGATGTTTAGCAGGTGGCCTCTGACTGTCCCGCAGTGCCGCGTGGGACTGCCACAAGCTCGGAATGCTGGAAGAGATGCTGCACCTCAATACCCAACACGGAGCAGACTGTGTGACGGACTGCGTGCCCCACTCTGCGTGCCCGAGTCTCGCGCAAGTCCGGCAAGCGTTAGCCCGCGTCGTGGCATGTGCAGGATCAAGCATCCGCCCACGCGCAGACCTCCTGGCAGCCAGTATTCTAGAGCGCGTGGCCGCAGCAAGTGCAACGACCTCTTCGGCAAGATCACAATCCGAAGAAGCAGCGTGCTGATAACTTTGAAGGACCGGCATGGCCTAGAGCTGCCACGACCGTTGCCAAAGAAGCCTGAGGTGGTCCGACCCCACAAAGACCTCTCGTCCCAGCAGAGTGCAGCAAACCCTGGTTCCCTCCATCTCACACCAGAATGATCGGAACACATTTCAGCAACACCCCTAGGAACAACGCCACCAGTGCATCGTGCATTGGAAGAAAGTAACATGGTGAATGTCGTATGTGGTGCTGGTGCTCGGCGTGGCGCTGGGTGTAGCGGGGGGCGGGTGGTGGCGAGTGCGCCACTAAGTGCGGCATTTCAAGGAAGGAGAGCATGATCCTTCGCAGGGACAGCCGAGCTCGGCATGCCGGACGTAGACGTAGTCGCGACACTTGCGCGACAGTGCCCACCCATGCCCGTTCCGGATCAGCAGTCTGTTGTGAGTCGCAGGGGAACATGCAGATTCAGCACCACAGTGGGCAGCTTTGCACGAGGTGAATCGAGGTATCGAGGAATGTGTCACGGAGGGATGCCGCCACGCGTTTGAACGTCTCTTTAAAGGGCAGTTTTGGCGTGAGATTTAGAGGTGGGTTGTTATTCGGAGGAATGTAAAAAGCTTTAAAACTAAACGTGAATAACATTTCAGTTGCAGCTTGGCCCCGATACAATTCCGAAGCAAGCGTGCGCTGCAGAATAGTGGCAGAAGTAGTCGCAGAAGTATCCTAGATACCATCATCATCATAACCACGAGTCCCAAGTATCCTGAGTACGACACGGCGCGCAGCTTGGTCTCTGAATCCGATAGTCATCACGATGGCAAGAACCATCAAGGTCTGTAGATGTATGTCGTTGTCGTAAGCGTCATACTTTCAGAAGCAGCTATCCCCCTGGCCCATATCCAAGTACATGGAGACCTGGAACTGCCGGCCAAAGTGACGGCAAGATGGTTCTGCGTTCCCGGTGCTGGAGAAGCCACGGCGAGGTGAACCAGGCGCTCGGCCAGGTCTCTCCGACCTGGGAGGTCGGAAATTGGACTTGCCTGCAGTTCGCCCCCCTGCCGGAAAAACCTGGAGGACTGCAACGCTTTGTCGTCCGACGTCTAAGCCAAGCAGTCCACAGCAACAGACAGTCCCTTGCAACCCCGGATGCGGACTGCAACATGAAGGGGCTAGAAAGAAGCACCAAATGGCCCCCTGATATTTCATGATGTTTTTTGCAGGGGGAAGGGGCTTGTAAACTTAGCGGGAATAGACTTGCACGCTGACATCACGCCCGGGCGTCTCTGGGCCGCCGGCCCAGACCGAACCACCAGAAGTACTGCTTGGCATTCCACGAGTCCCCCTCCTTGGATTTGCATTCGTCCCGTTCCGGCGCTCTCTTGTCGGGCCACCGGTTGGCCAGGCTGTTCCAGTGGAAAAGACATCCAAGAGATTCAGGGATCCGTCAAGCACTCTGGTTGTCGTCAGGTGAGGGCAGCCTGCATTCAAGACTCTATTAGCCGCCCGCTGTCCGATTCTGTATGGAACCAGTTTGCTTGGTAGTGGTTGTAGAGCCTCAGATGCAACATCCTCTCCGAAACTGTGGGCGACAAATCTCAGGGCCAGCTGAACGACATCCGACACTCGTTCCTTCCCTCCGAGAACCACACTGATTTCAGCTAGGTCAAATCACCAGAGACCAACGCAGCCATCCGTGCCGTTCTCGTGCTTGAGGCTCACGGCCCCAAAATGAAACCCTACAATAGCCCTTATGTAGAACCTTTTCAAGGAACTCTAAAAGGCTTGGCTTGCAAGTGCGGACCTGGCCGCCGCTCTTCCACTTCTGACAGCATCTCAGGTGCGGCGTCGGCGTTCAACTCGTGGTGGGGGTTCTCCGAGACCACCCTCCTCTCATATAGGGGCCTTAATAGTTAGAATGGGGTTTTGGGGCCCATTATTCTATAATTGCAATAAGGAGCCCCCAAAAATGATACTAAGGCAGCATTGGGCGAAAGAGCCCCTCGCGGGTATGCCGACCGCGGCTTGCAGCCCGCGAGGCCAAGTACGAGAACTTCGAATACAAGGCCCCAGGCCCCGAGAATCTCCGAAAATGCATCGTTCTAAGTACGAGTTATAGACTGGACCGCCGGTCCAGCGCCATCGTTGGAGCAAAGGCTGCAGTTCGGGAGTCGCTGCCAGCAGCTGGTTCAGCGACAGGACCTCGAAGAGTCGCAATAAGCTGCACTAGTCAAGCCTTTACATCATGTATAAGTCCCTAAGCCGAAGCATCTATGATACATATAGGGAGAAAGGCTGTCCGAAGAGATAAACAGCCCATGCCAAAAGAGTGTTTACTTGCTCTTTCTGTGATGTGTGTGTATATATATACCCGAGCCCTAGCTCCAGAGCCACTGTGGACATGGTAGACTACGAGTATGTTAGCTTCTCGATGCAGAGCTCCGGCCTGCTCCGGGGCATACATTTAAAGGAATGCATGGGGCAGGGGCAAGAGGATGTTCATGATTCACGGCTCCTTACCCTGGCCGCTGTCATCTTTATCTATGACTCTGCCTTCTGACTTGTGGTTCGGGACATGATGGTCAGGGTAAGCGATACCAAATACAAAAAAAGCGTCCAAGTCCAACTTCTGCGAGAATAGCCACCCTTTACCGGGCCGCCCACAGAACTCGGGGCCTCACGGCCCAGGTGCAGCGAGCGAAGCCGCTCCGGGCCAGAAGCCCAAGCGGCCTGAGAGTGCACGCAGGGGCGATGTGCACGTGCGTGCAATTCAAGTGCCTTCGCGACGTGGAAAGCTATGTTCGTATGCAGACAGCTTTTGCAGCTGGGCAACTGACCCAAGTGTTTCGACAGCTTCATCTTCTCTACATTCTGATTCTTCATTCCACGAGCGATGCTGTGTCTTCGGTGCGTCGAGGTCGAAGCTACTGTTGCCTCGAAAAGCTGCTGTTCCATGCTCTGCTTTTAGACTCGACCGAGGCTCTACATGTCGAGCCAGATCCCCCAGGTCCCGTATTACAGGCTGGATGCTGTGCAGTGCTGCAGCACCTCGACGTAACACGACCACGTCCTCGAGGCAATGAGAGCATTCTGCAACATGGCGGATTAGAACAAGGCCAAGTAGTCAAAATTAAGCTAAGCTTCTCAGCCGGAGAAAAGTTGGGGGCATCAGCAAGATCCACTCGTGGTGGCTGCCCTGACAAGAGCTCGCGAAACCAACATGCCTCACATGGGCTAACAGCAGCACCCAGAAGTGCCTTACATGCGAGACTCGAGCCTCGCCTGTGCTTGCTCCACTCCGGAGCCGGTGCACTAAGGCCTGCTCAGATTCTGCTCCCAAGGACGTAGATCCGTAGAAGATCGGGGGTATGGGGGCCTCCTGCCATCCGTCTTCAGGAGGGCCCAACTGCAGAGTCGGGAGCTGCATGGAAGCTCCATTAGCTTCGCCCGGGCCGCATCCCAAAATGCGCCCCGCTCTGCCGGCAAACACGAATCACTGTGCTTCGGTTGTGTGCTCTGGGGCACTCCTGGCGTGATCTGCATGAAAGCTTCGTGATTCTGCCTGATATTTGTAGTTTTGGCTTGATCTGCATACAAAACGTGTTCATTCTCTCTGGTTTCTTCTGGCAAATGGCGACGGTAGATCGCATGTCGGAATAGCAATAGGATGCCAAGGTGTCTTTGCCAAGCTCCCATGTGCAAATCAGCCGGAATCCACCTACGGATGACCTGGTATCATCTGTTCAAAATACGGTTTAAGCCCAATGATGACCAATGGTCGCCATCATTCTGTTGCACCACGCTGTAATAGAGTAGGCTTAATATCCAGGATGCCCCCCCCCTCTGAGATGTAACCTGGGCGTGTATCCCCTCGCTAAAGCGTATAGGAACACAGGCACACAGGAGTCTCTTTTACTACAGGCGCACAGCTGTAGATCGTACTCTGCTAGAACCTTGAGCAACAGGCATGGAAACATGCAAGTGATACGTGAAA